AATTCTCACACACTAACACACACACGCACAAACAGAGAGACACGCCTCTACCAAATTATTGGCGCTGCAAGAATCATTCAATCAGCAGCACGCAGCAACTGACAGCAAAAACACCACAATAGGTTCATTGATTTCACTTTCTGACAGCAGCCCAGCATAGAAAAATCCAATCTTTTTTCATAAAAACGCAATAAATTTCCCCCAAAATCTCTCTTTTCCCCCCTTGAATGAATTATTACGCAACAGCCCGCTTACCAAAATTAAATTTTGGAAGGGAAAAAACAACGGTCTCTTTAAACTCTCTTTTGCACGCACCTTTAAAACAGCATACGCATTTATGCACCCATCCGAGTTAAATTATTTTCCTCTTTTATTCGAATCGCTTTTAATTGCATGCCAGCCAAGTTTTTTTTTTCCCTCAAAAGAGATGGCTACGACATGATAGACTTAAAGGCAGGGGTAGGTTTGAGGTTTTAATTATGGCGGCAGATTAAAAGGGGTGAAATTTTACAGAGGTTTATGCTTTTCTTGTTCCTTTTTTGTACATTTTTCCTTATAATTTCTCGGTTTCCGCGATTTGGTCGGAGGTTTTATGTCATATGAGGGCGTTGTAGCTAACACGTGTCAAGCTGACACGGCTCCTCTAGGCTGTTAACCTGGTGGCTCGTTATTTTGCACATTTTTGGCTTTATTTGATCATTATCCGTACTCGTTTTTATGTCCGGCTATTTAAATGGTGTTAAATGAAAGCTCGTGAATTTGGTTAGATTGGACTTAAACGGTAAACGAGTTGAGTTTTAGCTTATTTAAAATTTGTTTAGTTAATGAGAGCTCCACTTGATAAAACTTCATTAACTCATTCATGTTAGAATGGCTGCCAGATATTTACTGACCCATCGCTAAAAGTGCAACCGTGGTTATTGCATGACGTTGTTGGCGTCGCTTATCCACGGAATACCACTATCAAGAGGTCCTTAGGCTTCGGCCTCTGTTCTTTGTACCAAAAAAAAAATAATAACAATTTTATAGAATTTATATAGTTTGACTTATTAAAGCACGAGTTCGAACTCGAATTGACTCGACCTCTAGCCTAGATGGATAGGTTTGAAAAAACGTTGAATTTCAATAATTAGTTTTGATCATCGAATCTATATATACATTAAATTATGTCTGATCTGACGGTTTAAAATACAACAAGTTCAATAATTAAACCTTTTATTTATGAAGAATAAAACTCATACCTTAAATTGATACAATTATAAAAGGTTAGGCTTTTTTTTTTTTNTTCAAAACAACCCCCAAGAGGGTGGGGATGGTTAGGCCTTTTAATAGAATTTCTCCATGAATATGTATTTGCATGTGACCCATGGTTTGGAACCCGGCGTACGTGGTTAGATGGAAAAAGGCACGTGAGATAATAAAAAATAAATGTTGATAGTCTAATTTCAATTGTTTTTCATTTCCCCAATTTCGATAATTTTTCAAATACACAAGTAAATTAAATTGGTCCACATATAATTTATACTTTATTTAGCTCTTTTTATCAATCTATTGCTTCATGTGGACATCGGTAAAAAAATGCAATATGGCATGAACATAACCTATAAAATTTTAATTTATATGACAATTTGAAAAATCTAAAAATTAAGGAGAGAGGTAGATTGTTAAACAATAGTCCATAAGACAAATTAAAGAAATTATAAAAATCGTAAGTTTGGCCAAATTAGACATTTTTTATCTTATGTGAAAAGCGTTCTTTTTCTACTGGTGTGAGGGTAAATTAACTTTTTTCACTTATATGTATGGTTCATTTTATGTTTTATCACAACGTTGCTCGAGTTTTACATTAATTTCTGTTTTACTACCTCTATTTCAATCACATATATGACCTAACAAAAATATAAGCAACAATGAAAAATGTTAGAATATCACTTGTGAGTTGTTTCACATCGTTCATATATAGAAAATAGACCCACCTTATAAGACTAATGGGCTACTCCTCCTTCTACCAATTAGTTTTGGGATGGAATCCAATTTGGATTTCATATGGACTTTTCCCGTTTTTTCATGGCCCGCTTCATGATAGTGGACCCGCACCAATTTTCCCCAAATTTCTGTAAAAAAAGAAAGCTTCAATAGTCAGGAAACTAATCAATACTATGCACACTTCTAAAACTAGTGCCTCATAAACAAAGTCATTTGTTATTAAAATTTTGTACATCGTCATTAATATAACAATATTAGTCGGAAAAAGACATGTACGGTAACGTTTAGACACCTTAGCAACTAGAAAGCTTTTGATGCAACCAAAAAAATTGCATGGAATGTAGGCCACATAGAAGGCTTGTGGTCCATGGTCTAATTTCACATGTAGACTTATGGTGCGATAAACATCATTTGCAACCACCCCATTTTGGATATTTATCATATCACAAAAATTGGTCTAGTCGACTAAACGAGTCAAAATTAATAAATTATACGATGATCAAACATTTCAAACGATAATAACTCATTTTCGTAAAAAGATTATGCTGACCAGACCGTATTATGGTTTTCATAAATGTAGAAAACAAATTACCCTATTTGAAGTATTGAGATACACTTAAGATCTCACCGAATCCGAATGAGATATGTCCTAAATACGAAAAGAATCTCATTTTTTTAAGTTACATGAATATCATTTCATTAAAAAGTCTTTTACTAGGATTTTTATGCACGTGAAGATCAATCATGATGATCTGCGAAGATTAGTTCACCAACTTGAGCACAGTCGGCTCATTCGAAACTCTAGCTCAACTTGGACAATGATGAATAATCGTTGGCCAACCTCTTGATTGGCCTTTTCGAGCTACTAAACCACATATTTCAAAACCGAGCTCATTGCTGAGCTGACTAACTGTCAATATCACATACTTATCACTATTTTTCATACCATTGTCCCAAGATACAATATTATGCTTTTGACTAAGCAAGATCCCAAATTTAACGACTGTAAAACGTTTTTGTAGGGGAAGGTATATGAATAATGATTTCATATACAATTTAAAT